AATAAGTAAAATTTACAGTAACTGACTTATTTTGAGAAAGTAACTGTACAACGGCATATATTCTGTTTGTTGAAATTAACAATGAATTTCTTTTTTCAAATTATTTTTTTCTCATTCAATGCAAAATCTTTTTGTCTATTTACAATTCCCTTTTCAATGACAAAAGCTCATCGTTACAGCTTGCATCCATTCACGTGGATGAATTCAATTTGAAATCCATAAAGTTATAATTTTTGCTATAAAATTCAAATTACTGTATTCGTTAAACTTTCAAATATGTTAAAACTATTTTGCTTGCTAATAATGTAAATTTAGCATACATCCTATTAAAATTTTGATTTTTCCTAAACATTTTCTTTTCGGGGACAAAAAAGATAGAACGAAAATACAGTAAGCATTTTTGTCAGCATATGAATTTTTTTTGCTAAAAAATACCATTAAAGTTTTTCCTTTAAATAGTTTCAAGAAATTCTAACTTTTGCATACAAACACTAAAGTTTGTGTAAAAAAATGAACACAAATTATTTTTTGCTTTAAATAAAACTTCTTAATTGGAAGCTTTATAATTTTCAAATAATCAAAAATAGCATAAAATATAAAAAATTGTTTTCGATAATTTTTTTTAAATTTATTTTATTGATAAGAATTGCGAATTCGAAAATGATTTGAAAGATAGAAAAACAAAAAAATAGTTATTTCGATAACATTTTTTTTTTATGATCAGATAAATATAAAATTTTTTTTTTTTGTATTTATATTTATCTGATCATAAAAATTATACATTCCGAAATTAACGTAAAAGATTATTTCGATGTCCCAAATTTTTCCTATCAATTTTTACTGATATTATTAACATAATAGTATGATTATAACTGTAATCTAATACAAAAAACACAAAAAAAATTAATCCTCAAATTGCATTAAAAATCCTCTAAACTCATCATTATTGTACAATCATAAATCAAAAATTTGATAGTGCTAAAAGAAAAAAATCATAATTTTTAGCATGATTTTCTTAACAAAGCAATTATTTTTGTGATTATCAACAAATTTTTATTGTTTATTTTTATCGTTTTTAATGTACTAATTTTTTGCTACTAATCTTTTGTTATTTAAATAATTTAATCAGATGAAAAAGAAATCACGAATATTTATAGCGATCATTATTCGGTCAAATTATCATCGTCGTTTGAATAAGGCATATGAAAATAAATGGTTTAAAAGCTAATTCCTCTCGCTGCTCTTTCTTATCGGTTAATGTTTTCTCAAAAAACCGGAATTGATTCGTTGGGAAAATTTTCATCTGATATTGTTCAATCTTTCAATCTCACTTGCATCATTTATTTCAAATCTCATACTTAGTTATTCAAATGATAAGAATATTGTTATTTGATTACATGGTGTGATAGAGAAATCGATATATTACGTAAAATTAATCGTCATATATTTGCGGTAATTTGAAATAAGTTATTTAATCTGTTGAAAGGAATAATTTTTGGAAAAATTTTATTAAATGTTAAGCTTTATTTACCTTACATTTAAAAGTGATATCATCTCTATTTTTTGCAGACCTGAAAACTGTTTTTTTTGGAATGATTTAAAATAGCAGCACCAGTTGTTTCCTTGATGTTTCTAAATTTGAGTTTCTTTTAAGAAAAATTAAAATATAAAGTAATTACTTTGTTGAATTTCAATACTATTTTTGTTGTTTTTAAAAAGGCATAGCTGCAATGTAATTTCTTTTGAGTTTTTAGAACTTGTTTGTTTAAGTGACTAATTGCATCGTTAATTTATATACACTATTGCTTAATTGAAAACAATTTCAATTTAAGAGACAACTGATCTATATGAAAATGTTTGCAATGTAATTAGAGGTTTTAAGTTTAATTTTTTTTTTTAAACAATCATTCCTAAACGAGGTTCAGTTTGTAGCAGGTTTTCAGTTTAAAAAGAACTGAAATAAAAAGAAAGAGAGAATAATAATTCTTTTTATTTTCCTTTACACATTAAATAAATTACAAGCAGTAAACGTCTTCAAGAACAATACAGTTAAACATGAATAACTGGAATGGTATACAAATACTGATAAGTTCTGATTTCTGTATAACATATCCAATTCTACGAGCAAAAATAATAATATAATAGTAAAGTTTAAAATCTTCCTCCTTTTTTTTCCTTCTTTCTTTCAAATTTCATGAAAATGAAATATTTGTAAACTTTTTAATTTAAAAAGGAGTGACAATAATTTTGATTTAATTATTATTTATCAGAATTGATTTTAGCACATTCATTTTATTTAACAAATATTAACGTTATTTACGAATTTTCCACATGCAAATAAATTCATTCATCTCGTTAAAAAATGTAAAAAGCAAATTAATTTTTTTTTTTTAATTTCAAAAAAGCAATTTACTATTGTACATTGTATGTACAAAATTTTTTATTATATTTTAGGATAATTAATTGTTAGCCTAAAAATAGCTTGTTTGATTTGAATTTGGTAATTTTGGAACTTTTTTTACAAAGACATTATCTTGATTTTTCTCTCAAACATACAAAACAATTGCCAAACAAATATTCAGGTATCAAAAAAGTGGAAAGGTGAACAATTTCAAAGATAAAAATTATTTCAACTTTTTAAAATAATTTAAAATTATCTTAAAACTGCATTAATTTCATCTAGTTACATTATTATATACTCAAAGAAAATAAACAGAATCAAATGTCAATTTATAAATTAATGTAGACTTTTTTCATCACAATTTTAATAGGTGTATTTATTTGCCGTAAATTTTTCTCGTTAGTTTAATCAAATATGGAGTAAGTGAAAGACATTAAAATATTCATTAACACTAAACATTAATGATAAGTTTTATGTAAAAATTTACAATATATTGTTAGATGAGGAGAAGTTCGACAAATAATTGCTTTCATTTTCCAATCTTTCATTGTTTTTCTCTTCCTTCTTCTTTTACAATTAGACACATTTAATGGATATCATTTTTTTTTTCATTTTATCTTTAAGGAATTCCATTTTTAAAAGGGTAAAAAAAAGAAAAACTGAATTCATTGTTTTAAAATGAAAATAAATTTGTTTAAGTAGGAATGATTGAAATCTTTCACACTAAAAATTTGATTGTTTTATAAATTTTGATTGGCAAAAAAAAAACAATCATTTCAATCATGGAATTTTCTTATCTTATTATTTCATCAATATTTAAAAATAGGCATTGCTGCGGCATAGTAGTTGGAGATTTAAGTTGAATTTTCGAATGATTTCGATTTAAAATCATATATGCTGTCTTGCAAACTGTATAACTATATTCCTGAAGTGGTTGACAAATGGAAAACTGTAACTTATCGTTTTTTTAATGATTGTACAACCTGAAATAACTAAATTGTCCTATCTTATACCGGTCAAAAAATCATTATTGTAATTAAAATAGCTAATTATTAGCTTTTACATCACTCCCTTACAATTTTCCTAAGAAACTTTGATAGGATATTTGCTTTTGAAAGCAAATTTAAAAAAAAAACTTTTTTGGCTTCCATGATTTGTGAATTATTTGCATGTATTTCATCGGTAGCATTATTTATTTACATGCATTTTATAGTTTTGCAAATTTTAGACAAATTATATTTTATGCATGTATTTTATGAATTAAACTATCACATTCAGTGTTGCAATTTGATATGTATTATTACCGTCGGATAATTTCGATGTCTTTCTTTTTGTTGTCGTAAGTTAAATTTTCAGTAGTACAATTCAAAGATAAATTTTAAATCGTAACATTTAAATTGCTATTGCGAAAATTTAACTTTCGTTTCGTATCATTTTTCAACTGTGATATTTTGTGCTAAAAGAAGATAAAACATATCAGGAAATTGTGCATCCATTCTTACGGTACTGAAATGTTGATATTGAGCAATTTTTCGTTGAATAGAAAATAAAACATTTGATTGTCCAATATTTAAAAAAATTTACTATGCTTCCTACCAGATTGATATGAAGAAAAGCGTAAATAAGGATAATTAATTAACATACACGTATTACTGATACTATTTGTAGCAGTCATAATATTATCAATATTTGTTATAATCAGAAATAGCATTATTTTCGTAAACATGATGACAACATAGAATATGTCATTGGATTCACGTACGATATCATCAATAGAGCGAGATGCATTATAAATCAGTCAAGATCAAAAATACCTTTTAATTTAATTAAGCAATGACGAAATGATCAACTTAATAGTAACAAATTTTATAAGAAAAGACAGTAATTAATTTTTCTTTTTCAGAAAAATTAAAACATTTCTTTGTCGCAAATACTTTCGAGAGCTTTACGAATATTCTAAGGACGAGCAAAAATTTCGTAAATTCTTTACCATATTTATCTTTTCATATTACTCAACTTTACCGAACCAACTTTTCATTCTTATTATTTTCTTGTGTTCAAAATTTTATTTTCTTGGCTTAACAAATTATTCATTCATTTTATCATTCCCAATATTAAACAAAAAAAAAAGCAAAATTTCAAATCAGAAATTTTTTTCATCTATAAAATAAACAAAAATTAAATGAGAAAGAATGATTCTTCCGATCCATTCTATTTCCATTGGATAATTGTAAAAGATTAGTGAGGTTGCAATAAATGATTAAAATTAGATCTGATTTTTCTTTTTTGCTTTGATCATTACCATTTAATTGTCATTTCAAGTGGATAAATGAATCTCAAAGATAAGCCGCTCAAGATATCATTATAATTAATCATTTTTCCAAAAATAAACGTTGAAATCATCGCGAACATTTGTTACTTTTAAGAAATTACAATTTGTCCCATATCATTTTCATTTCTACCAATTTTGTTCTTTTTTGTCATACAACCTTGTTCGTTTTTCCGCTGCATTAATATTTGTTAATTTGTCGTCCCAAATATTTATAAGTTTTTTTTTTCCTTTTTTAAAAATTATTCATTTAATTTAAGGTAATCGGCAATGAATAAGCAAATTTTCAATACAGTCGCTGCAATACTTTTAATCTTTTCTATTACATTTGCTCAGCAACAAAATGAGCGACGTTAGTTGTTTAAATTTAAAGTAAAACTTGGAATTTTTTTTTTTTTAAAGCAACAATCTAATCAGTGATAGATATCAAATTTGTATAATATGATATGATGACAAATAAATGTAACATGTAACTTCCGGAAAATTTATATTTATTTGATTTTTGGTTCAGAGCTACTAAGTAGCGCTAGAAATTTTAATATACTAAAAATGCTAGTAGTTGACTTTTCACTCTTTAAAACTATACTTTGTTAACATTAAATTAAAGTACTGGAAATTTTAAGATGTCTTCTAATTTCCGTACTTAGTTTTTACTGAGTACGGAAATTGAAAGATATTTCGATTACCTAAGTAATAAATTTTAAATTTCTAAGACAATTTTCAAAAATCTTCAAATTATAGTATTCTTGAAAAGCAGTACAATATTTTTTGTATCATCTGAATGTCTATTCTCAATGTTAGAAATCAAAAAATTGAATAAATTGGATTCTGTGAAATTTTCCCAACAAAACTATCAGTCAATCATTTATCGTTATTTTCTGCAGTTTCGAGAAGAGGATTATCATTTTCAAAGGATAATACTGTGCTATCATCATCTCCAATAGAAGAATCATTACCGATATCTGTGGTGACATCGGATAGAGTGCATAGAGAAGCGGATATATATCGAAGAGTATGCATTTATTTATTTTTTTAAATTTTCTAGAAAAATCCTTTCAAATTTTTCAAAGCTTCTACAAATAGATATTTTATCAAATATTATTGAAACTCAGATAGTCTTGATAAATTAGATTCTAATAAATAGAAGTTTTTCACAAACTGAGGATTTATAAAGTCACCATGATAAAATTAATGTTTGAAATACTGACAAAGATGAATTGAAAGTAGCTATAATTTTATAGTTTTGCATTGATAAATTTATGACGATAATTCTTTCCAGGGTAATATTTTTGGACTCCGTAATCATCGAGTTAGTACAGCTCATCACGTGAACGCATCCAAATTTTTAACCGACAGTAACTCTTTAGTTAAAGTGTACGGTGAAGCAAATCCAAGTAAAACAGATGAACATTTATTGGATATTGAAGCAAATACACAAATTGTAAACGTCGGGAATCGTCCATTATCCTTAATACCGTCTGGCGAGAGTATTCCTTTATCAATAAGTGGTTATGGGCCACCGGAAGAAAAATTAGATATAGCGGAGACGAACCATCAAGCTGAAACCATTAAGGAAATACAAGCAATATTGCATTCTGATATTGAAAATCCATATGATGGAGGTGTTCCGGATACAGAAGCGATCACTGCGGAAACTCCGTCAGATAGTAACAGAGAAAATAAGAGTGACCTTCCGTTGATCACAAGTACTGAAAAAACTGTTATATTAAGCGAAGCAGCTACAAGCACCATAAGATCTGAAGATTTCAGGAAAACAGAAAGTGTAATTAAATCAAATGTGAGTGACATGGAACCGATAAAAAGCTCCACTGAAGCTTGTGCACAAAATTGTAGCGTAACTACGGAAAGCTCGATGGGAACAGATGAAGGAACTATTGAAATGGTTACTGAGGCTTCTACCGATAGGCGAAAAGGTGCTACAGTATTGTCAACAGGTATTAGCAAAGAAAGTTACGATGTTAGCACCGAGCAATTTGAAAATGCGAGCATTGGAACTGAAGATGTTGAAATATCAACAATTGAAGGCGAAAAAACCGAATCAGTTTCTGAAGGATATGGAACAGTATTTGATACTAAGAAAGCGGAAATAGTACTGAAAACAAAACTGCAAAATATTTCAAGCGCGGATGCTAAAGTTATGCCGTCCGAATCAGTTACAGAATCGTTCACTAATGATGATATCATGCATACGCAAACTAAATCAATCGATGATGCGGAAGATTTCGGATATGGTATGGCTTCTAAAACTATCAAAGAGCAATCGACTACTGAGAAAAGTCCCAGTAGCATTTCAGAAAATTCGCTAGGAGCATATAAAGTAGAATCAACTTCTAATCTCGGAGAAGCAGCTTACAGTGCTACAAGTTCACCAATGATTGGTGAAGAAACAAAATATAAGGGACAGGAAAAGCCGTACGAAAACGGTAGCAAGCCAGATTCAAACACTGAAGAAATTTATTCCTCTCAGCAAAAGATTACAAAAGTATCCGGCGATACTTACCAAAATCAAGAAAATATTGATAAAACCGAAATGCAAACGAATACCGATCAGTCGTCTATTTCAACAAAACATTGGTCAGGAAATGTGGAAGTTACTTTACCAATAACAAATGGTACTGCAACTGATACTTTGTACGTTACTGAAGATAGTGAAATCTCAAAAATAATAAGTTCTCCAATTATTGAGCCGGAAGAAGATATTTCGGGCTATGAAACTTACAGTAAACCAAAAGTTACTGCAATAAGCAGTAAAGTAGGTTTACCAGGATTAAACAAAGAATCAGCATCTCAACTATCAAAATCAATTGAGGAAGCAACTATGGTACCTAGAATAAGCACTGAAACCAAAATGAGGAATGAAAAAGCAAAGATGACACTGGAAAGTACAGTAACAGGATTGGGAGATCTAAAAAGTTCTACAGAATCTAACATGGTAGTAACTGAAACAATAGAATCTCCAAAAGAAACATCTCTCACGTCCGTTGAACAATCATCAGAATACCGTGCAGTAACACCAGAATATATTGCGGAATCAACATACGGAAAAGAAGAAGCTACAGAATTACGAAAAACAAATGATGGAGTTGAAACATCTGCTGTAGCACCATATGATACTAATGAGAAAGTTGTACCTGATACTACATCAGTAACATCGAGCAGTGCATCTGTTACTTCTGAATCTGTTGCATACGGAACAGCTGAATTAGTTAAAACATCAGTATCAGAAAAACTAGCTAAAGTATCAAAATCTGATGAAGGATTAGGATTAGCAGGATATGGTAAGGCAGGTCCTAGTGAACAGGTACAGAAGGATCAGGATTTAATGCCCCTCGTATCAAGCACAGAAGAATCAGGAGTTAGCACCACAAAAACACCTGAAGAAACCATACAACGAAATGAATTGCAAACAATGATGGTTTCGAAACAGCTCATGAATCACAATGAAGAAATTGCAACATCAGAATCAAGCAAAATTAGCAGTACAACAGCGACATCTTCAAACGAAGCAACTATGTCTGAAGAAGTGACAAGATCTGAGCAACAACCTTCAGACTATAGAGAGTTATCAGTAACTGCTGATGATTATCATGAATCAAATAAAGAAGTGTCGTCGGAGCAAGCGACAATTTATAAAGAACAGGTAACAGAATACGAACTGCTTACATCTGCAATATCTAAAGGTGATATTACGACTGAAAAAGGTGTGAATGCAACAGCAAGACTTCAAAGTAAATACGCGGATATACGAACTACTCCTGGAGATTTTGGATATGGTGGGAAAAAGGGAGTCATTGAGGAAAATGATAGCGATGCGATCGATACTTTAGTAAATTCAATATCTACCATAAATGTTGAAGAATCAACAGAAAATCCATATGCAAATCAATTGCATACAAAATTAACTGAGAATGCGAAGATTAGCAAACCTACTGGAGAATCTGTTGTAACGGAATCTATCGAGAAAATTACGAGTGGAAGAGGAACAGTAACAAATGAAAGTGATGGAAGTGCGCCAGAATCCGATGTTACTGAAAATCCATTTAACCTTTCGGATTATTATCCAACAAGTGAAGAAACAACTAATGAGTTGTCACGATCTGATGAAAATTTGACAGGACAATCAGAAATTGCAGAAAGTACGTTAATTTCAATCACGGAAACTAGTGAAATAGCATCAGTGAATGAGAGAACTACAAGCCATACAAGTTTGACAAGTGAGAATCCAGAATCAGAAGCTGCTAGTTATGCAGTTTCTGAAGGAGGAAAATTTACAGGAACTTCAACTGCTGAAACAACAGTATTAGCCCAAGTAAAATCTAACGAAACTTCAACAGATACGAATGATTTTGGTTATGGTGAAAAACTTGAAGAAAATACGGAAGCACAATTAATAGAACAAAATCAGGATTCCAGAACATTTGTTACGGCAGCAGAATCTATCTTGACAACTGGGGAGATACAATTTAGTGATGAAATAAAAACTGAATCTGTTCAGAAATCTTTAGCAACAGAAACACCATCAGAAATTGAAACAGATTCTACAATTAAAGATTTTGAAACTTCTCAACAAAATCACACCGAAATAGACGATATTCTGACTTCTTCAAGTCTAAATAAAGAAGCAATAGAAACTACTGGAATTTCAGAAACCGATCGATCTGCACTTCTTCACAAGACATATCCACAGGAAACCACAGAAAGCACATTAATGCGTATAGTAACAAATGGAGTAGAAATGTCGATACCATATGATATACATGAAGAAGCTCCAAAAATTATTGCAATGATAAAAGTAACGAAAAAGGGTCCTTCAAAATTAGCCGATGACATAATTGCTTCAACGAAAGCAGCACGAAAAGAAGAAATTCATGATAGTACAGAAACTACTAAAGAATTTGAAGCTGGAAGTATTACATCTGAAGAAATGAATGAAGTAAAAAATGAAATAGAAAGCATATCATCAGAAACTTCTTGGGCAAGTCCGGAATTTTCTGACGTAACAACTGCTGCAAAAAATACTGAATCAGAATTTTATTCAGAAAATACTGCAAATATTTCAGTTAGAATTTCTATGGGTCCTGAAAATTTCGGATACGAAAATGTAAATGAACTAACATCACCAAGTGAAATATCAACTAAGATAACAATGACAGAATTACCAATCAATCTTACTGAAACTTCCATTGCTACAGAATCATCAGTTAGCAACAAATACACAAATTCTAAAATGTTCGCTGATGCAGAATCGAAAGGTGATGAAGAATTCAGCGGAACTGTTCCTTCAATCACATCAAATGCATTAACCGATTCATCCACTGTAACTCAAAAAATGTTGACAACGCATGGTGAAATTATTACGACAGAAGAAGAAAAAAATATTCCGATCAACATTCCGAATAGTGGAAAAGATTTCGGATACGGTGATGATACGGACGAATTAAGCAACAGTGCTGCATTTAGTTCAATCACCATTTCAGACGGTATGTTTCGTGATTTTTCTCGGATACTCATTCAATAATTTCTAACTCTCTTTCCATTCATCATTTGTAGAAAAGAAAGCTTAGATTCATTTTTGAGTGGTCGGAAATTCAGTAGCTGAATCAATGTTGCAAATGGTTAAAGTTAGGATAAACAATTCAAGAGATCTGATTTCGTTATTACTGTTATTCTTGATGAATAGATTCAGTATACGACTTATATTGAATTTGTTTTCTTGAATTATCAAGAATTAACAAGCAAGAGAACAAACAATTCCGATCAGAAATATTGGGATTGGATTAATTCTTCAGTGCAATCCCCTTGGAGTACAAACTACCCAATATTTTTAATTAATTTGCTAATTGGATTGTTGAAAATTTAATCTTTTTTAATTGAATTGAAATTGATCTTAATGTTTTAGAACAAAAGCAGCGTGATCAGTCAGTTCTACGAAATACAGGTTTTTTATTATTGTCGAGATGCAACTTTTTTTTGCCAAAAAATTTATTTAAATTGGGTCAAAAGTTAGAATTTTTTTTAATTTTAACAATTTTGAATGAATATATTACTTTCATAATTTTTCAATCTGTTTAAAATTGATTATCAGTAAATTTCCAATATTCATGCACAGAAGCATAAAAAGAGTCTTAATTTTTTTTTCTGATTTTGTTTGAATTGAAAAAATCACTATTAGCTTTAAATTTCAAATTGTTTAACCATTTAGATTTCAATTTTTAGCTTCAACCATCTATTAATTGTCTAATTTCATTCATAGTTTAATGTGTTAAATTTTAGCATTATCAAGTATGTCGTCGCAGAAAATTAACAATTCGATGAGACGAAAATGTAAATTTTTTTAAGCCTTATTTTTATATTAGCGAAATAAGAATTGCTCTGTAGGAAATGCTAATGCGAGTTATTAACTGGTCCCGTGATATGACGGGAAATATTTTAGAGAAGCATTAAAGCAAACCAAGAAATATTCATTATCCAGTAATCAAATACAAAAATTTCTCGAATAACTTATCATCGATATTATAAAAAACACTCTAGCAGTTTTAATTGATGAATACAAATTCTAAGAGGTCAGCTAACAGCTAAGATACATCCATGCATTTGTTTCCGGAATTAATAAGCCTAAACTTAGCATACTGTCATGTAACCGAAAAAAAACATCAATCTAACAAATACTTCTGTTATCAGTTAAGATATCTTGTAGCAAATAAACTATTGCATATTTTTGGTGTAAATTCCATATTTTTTTTCCTTGCAAAATTTTTAAAATGAATGAAGGAGTGGCATATTCAATTTGTTATGGAATGTTTTCTAAGTTTTTACACAGACCGAAAATTGATCGTTACAGAAATTTCTTTTTTGCTTCTTTTCTTGATGACTAATCAAAAATTATATGAATCAATCACAAATATTGATATAAGAGCATTTTCTTTTCTTTTAAAATCCTTAAATGTTTTGTTTATTAAAATTTCAATAAAGTTTTGTGATAATATAACTGAGTTTATAATAGTTTTATTCGATAATAAAACACAGAAAATTGCAGGTTAAACTTTTTGAGATATTAGCTAAATTAGCAAATAAAAGAAATAAAAAGTTAGCCCGAGTTTCTAGTATGTATATCATGCATATCACTGAAGTTGCATTTGCTCGATTGTTCGGTGGAAATCTTCTGCAATGGTTACGCACCTCTATTTCGCAAACAGTAAAACAGCGAAAGAAACATCATAATTACTTCATTTAGCTAATGCATAATAATAACATTGCTTAAAGTTTCTAATAAATATTTCTCAAAATTATCAAAAAAAATCTCATAGCATTTCAATCTCAATCACCAAATTAAGGCAATTTCAGGGCGACCGTTCACTTTAAACTGTGATGAGGAAATTGATGAGAAAGGTGATCTTTGCAAAGAATGGGCCAAAGCAGGTCTTTGCGATGCACATCGACCAACAATGTTTCTTTTTTGTAGGCGGACATGCCTATGTATTGGACCACCAATTGATCTGCTGATATGATCGAAAATTTAGAAGCTCCAATTCAGTGATAGAAGGATTTAGAAAAGTTAATGTTTAAGAAATCTCTCTTCCAGTTTTGAGAATTCTTGAAACTTTTCCCAGTCATTTTTCAATAAAATCGGATCTGATAATCATAGCACATTTTTATATCTCAACTTTTACCTTTTAAAATCTTCATTCATATCATATAAAACTTATTCTTTTAAGAAAAAACTGATTTCTTTTAATTCATATGATATTTTAAACGAATATGGGTGAATAAGTATTTCCAAGGAAAAAAAAAAGTGTTATGATAGAGCAATAATTCATAGCAATCTGCACGAGGTTTTTTTTGCTAAACCATCACCTTAGCAGTTAACGATTTAAGATAATAAGAGTTTATTCCCAAAAAAAATTTTGAATATTTCCTTTTAAAAATTTTTCTGAAAATAATTTCTAATTAATTTTATATGGAATAGGAATTGTGAGGTTTTTGTAATATGTTGCCTTTAAATTTGTGAAATAATTGTTTGTATGAAAACAGTTATTGCTTATGCTATCGTTGATTTCATACCAGTATGTTTTATCATAATTGTTTTTGTTCGAAATTACTGACAAATATAATTAAAACTGACATTATGCAATGAATTTTTCAATATCTTACTTTACATCTTTAGCAAATCATCAAAAAAAAAAAACGTTATTAATTTCCAAATTCAATTGATTAAATTCTCAAAGAAATTTGTTGAAAAGGTATAGCAAATAATTGAAAGATAGAAAAAAGAAAAACCGATTTTGAATTAAGGTTTTTCATTTTGAACATTTTACAAATTTTAGCTGACTTTTTTTAATTACCAAAAAATCAAATTGTAAAAAATTTGGTAAAATAAATGAAATAAATTCAAATTTCGTTGAAAATGGATTTGTAAAGAAAAATAACTGCTGTTGATAAGATCAACGAATTGCATATTAATAATATATATGCATTGTTATCAATTCAAATAATAAAAAACGTAGCTTTTAACAACATCTATCCTAGCAGTTCATTTTCTATTTACTTTTTGATTACTTTATCTTAAAATTTAAATTTTTATATTTGGATAACATTTACAACGATATATTTCCAATAGTAGTGATCACTTATTAATCAAAAAAAAGTAAATAGAAATTTAATATTAACTATTGTTACTTTTCAGCACAATCAACTATAAAATAACACGAACAGCAAAAAAGGTATCACTTTTTGTTATTCCAAGGCTCAGTCATTTGCTATTCTAAATTGTGCTTTCCTGCCGGAGAAAAATGGCCTAATTGATTTTATGAATTAAGAAGAGAAAATATATTTGCATATATCAGCCTACACAGATCGAAAAATGAAGGAAAAGTTGGTTATATTTTTACTTTTGAAATATGCATGCAAATATTCAACAGAACTTTTAACATATTATTCACCAAATAATTCTCAACAAATTTTTTATTGACTGAAAAAGCATTACTTATCGAATAATCAATAAACTATAAATCAATTATATAAATAAAGAGATAAGTAATCAAATATATAAATCTTTTTTTCCAAACCTTTTTAATGTATGTTTGGAATGAAGTAATCAATATTGATAAAACGAAAATCCGTAAAATTAGCATCAAAACCATTAACGAAAATCATTTTGAATTCTACATAAAGCATCATTTCAACATCGAACGAAATCATTTTGATCGTAGCTGTCTAGTGAAATCAGAAGATTGATTTAATCAATCTTCTGACGTATTATCACCAACTATTTCATAATACCGTGTTCAAAATACATATATGTTCTTTTCCGGAAATTCGATCATTCACACTTCATGTTCCATATCTACAATGTTATTATACTCGTCCCTTTATTTCAACCGATCACTCATCAATCATCAGCGATGCTATCAGTATCAGTAACATTTACAGTAGCAATAACTATAATAAACATTCCGATATTGACTTCACCAACATTCTCCATTTTTGTCATGCAATCAGCACTTCAAAATTTGATTGCTACAAGAAAGAAATCAAAACAGATGAGAAGCAAAAGCAACAAGAGAAACATGGATTCTGAAGGGGATTCTGATGACGATAATGATTATAATAATTTCTGAAGGAAATCCATAAGTATTCTGCAAAATTTCATATTTATCATGATTGATATTTAAGAAATTTCATTCGATTTTCTGAATTTTTCCTCAAATTATCAAGAAAAATAATATTTTTCTTTATTGAATTCATCTTTTAAGAACAATATGCAAATTTCAATAACAAAGTATTACTTTTGACTTAACAAACAAGCTTAATTTTCATTTATGTATTCTCGTTGATTAATTTTAACATTTCTCGAGACTTCGATGAAAACTATATTATAAAGCTAGAAAAGATACTTGATCAAATCGTTATTATCATCAGCATCATCATGCTAAATGTTATGCTTAATATTTCGACGATATTTGAGTGTCCAACGTTCTTTCTTATTCACATCCACAGATATATCAAAAATAATGGGATTATTTGTTAGCTGTAATTGATCATCTACCAATGAACAGTTGACAAATTTTGTGTAACCATCTGTTGTACAGCCATATCCTAAAATAACTTCTCGTGTTTTAATAAATTTACATTTATCAAATGTATGTACGATTTTAAAAGTGTCAAATTAATATAAATCTACGAGTTAATATCATTAAATGCAATATTATATAATAATAACACTATGATATAAGCCAGAATTAAGCAGATCATTTTACCTTAACATGTTTTAAAACATTCTATATTATATGTTTAATAATCTTTGGTCTTATTTCAAAATAAAAAACAAATTCATGATATTCGGCTTTTACTTTGACCAAATTAGATTCCTTTGAAAAGTCATTACGATTAATATTAATATTTATTGTGCTAAATGCTGCATGGAATAATCAATGATAATGAAACGAAAAAAAAAAAAAAAACTGCATCGAAATATAATTCATTCTTCATTTAGCATTACTTTTGAAAAATAAACCTGAGTGAATATGACCGAAAACGTGATATTTTGGTCGAATACGTTTAACGACAGAATTCAATAATTCAACGCAACCAACGTGTAATCCCTTTGCTAGCATATCTCCATGACCTGGAAAGAAAAAAAAAATTTTTAAGATTATTATTACAAATTATATACACAATTGAAATTACAAATGAAAATTTTAATTTTTGAAAAAATTTTATCTTTCCAATAGGTTAAGGATAAAAAAAAAAAGAGTCTTCAAGTGAGAGAAACTGTCTTATTCATGATAAATTATCCAGGATTAAAGCAAAAATTGCACAAGTAATGAAATAAACGAGAGTTAGCAATTAATAATTTAAAAAATCTTCATTCTTTATAACAATCAATAGTTGCTTAATCATTAGTGAAAAGAACCTAGCGGTGGTGTATGAGTGATGAGAACATCGATACCGGCTGGTATATCATTCCATTTATCAAGTAGAGCTTGTCCTCGAGGAAGATTAAAAGCCATATCATCATGCTGTGGTAGCCTAAAAATTTCATTTATATACACTGATAGCAAACTCTTGCTTGTTTAAAAAACTGAAACAGCAATGCTTTCTTGACAGATAACGCAAATGTTCATTTCAACATCATTTCATTTCAATTCATTTCAATTTTTCTGATACTCTTTGGATGTAAAATTGATTTTTAAAAATAAACCTTCCAATGTAATTAATAATCTATCCTCTCTACTATTTAGTTGAAATGATGAAATGTTAGAATGACATCATCACAAAAAAAAAGGAAACATTGAAATTGAGAATCGTTCAAAACTCTTTTAACTACTTCCCTCAATTTCATCATCAATTTTAAATCGCTAAATGTAAAATGAACTTTATACTTTGAGAATTGAGCTAATCCGATGAGACATTTCATAATTTGCAATAGTGTAATAAATGTGAAAAAAAAAAATTAACAGACAAAAATGATTTTAATGAATGAATGGAAATGTTACTAAAACATATTTAATTATATGATGAAAATGAAATACTAACCATGGTGTTCCATAAATTTGAATACCAAAGAGTTCCGTTAAACTATCTTCTAAATAAACTACATTTTCCAATTTTGCTTTTGCATTTTTCATTTCGTGTGATGTAAATTCATTGCTAAGAGTTTGTTTCACAGCTAATTTTTTCTCACCAAATTTACTTCCTAAAAAAATTTTAATATTGCAATTGTTAATCGTTTGCTTCATATTTTTAATAAAATCCTTGTGAAATGAAAATTTCAAATTATAAATAAATTTTGGTCACTTAATTCATAATTCAAGATCAAATCAAAATATGATTATTATTTCAAAAATCTGCTAAGTTATTATATCTTGATCTTCATCAGTTAAAATCCTTTTAACCCTTGTACTCTCTTTTTTATTCTGAAATTCATGATAAATATTTCTAGTACCTAAAAAAAATTTCCAATTATGGAAGACAATTATTGATTTGAAATGAAAAATGGTTCAATGAAACGATTGATAAATTGGTTAAGAATAGATAAATTAATTGTATTGTAAGTTTTAATAAATATTTCTATGAAATATTTCAAGTTAAAATCTTACCGCTGGCCTTCACAAAACGACCATCGAATGTATATTCGTGATTACCGGCAATTATTACTTTCAAAGTATGTGGAAGCTGTTCTGCAATAAATAAAAAAAAAAAAGTTTAAACGTGCTTTGGAATTTCAGGATCATAAAAGAAGTGAACTAATCAATGTGACTTTGATAGTTGCAACTTATTCGAATCGTCAAATTCAAGTATGGAAAGAATTTTAAATTAAAACTGATTTTTAAAAATTTTTCAACAATTCGAGAATTCACTTTTTGCTAAGAATCTGAACTGGCATTAATGTATGGTTGCTGGACTGTACACTTACTGTTTTCGAAACAAACAATGAATCACAAAGTTGAATTTTTAAGATATTAAATACTTTACTAACTTAGATATTCGCTAAAAAGTTTAACTTCATCTGGTCGACCGTACAATGTGAAATCTCCCGCAACGATAAGAATATCACCAGATGGAATAGATTGCGGATCCGGAAATGACTGATGGAGGCAAGCCATACAAACAAATCGGACAGCATCTTGTCTTATCGGTGTATTTAATTTCATCTGAAAATTTAATTTCAAATTTAGTTTTAATTTAATAGTATTCAAGCAATTGTTTGGAAAATCAAATTTTATAAACTTGCAAAACATCACATTTTCACTCTTTTCAGCTCTCTCTTAGCGCTGAACTATGTTAAAAATCAGAAATTTCAAGAGCAACAATTTTAGATTTTAAAAATTTTAAACTAATTAATGGAAATAAATATATGTGTTTCTCTTATCTGTCTCACTGTCTTCACAGGACGATTATTTTTAATCATCTCCCAAGCTATTAATGGATCGTTGGTGTATTTGTGTGGAGTAATCTGTAATAATCACACATTTTAAATATAAGCAAATACTCAATTACTTAGTAATTTTCATTATTTCTAATTATTGAAATAATATTGAATAAATTTAAATTACAATTTCCAAAAAATTCGTGTTTAAAAAAAAAAAAAAGATTTGTGATTTTAAGAAATTTTTTTGCATTATTAATAGTGTTACAATAGCTGTAATAGTTGAACGTCGTTTATGCTTGGATGAACGTCGTTGTTGTTTATGATATTGAATGAAATTGCGAGCATCGCAGTTCGATGATGAAGTTCGTTCATCATCCAACTTCCGTCTTTCCAATTCTTCTGCAATTTGCAAAACAAACAAAGAACATTCTAGAAAATAAACTTCTTCTAAGAATACATTCAAACACTGTTATGGTTGAAAATGTTATAAATATTAAAAGAATATCAAAATTTATTGAATAGCTTTCAGTGCTCAAAAATATTTTTAGGAGCTAAAATTTATTTCTGCCTAATTTATTTTTATTCATCATTTCCAAAATGTTAATTTATGCATATGGTAGAATAAAATTTATTTCTATAAATCAAAATTTTGAAGGAATTATTTGAGCTAATTTATAAATCATATTTATTGATAAGAATGTTTTTGTAGAAAAAAATTGAAAAAATTTTTAAACCATATTCAGTTCGTCCACTGCAGCTTGGTTCTGCACTTTCACAAGTACGTTGACAAAATTCTCGTGAATTTTTGGTAATTATAAGAGGTGCTGTTTTACGCCGTTCTCTGTATCTTGTTAAACCCTAAAGTTTGATAAAACATATTCAATAAATTCAATTAGTTTTCTACTATGAAATCTTTTTCAACATTAAATTATTAATTGCAAATGATCAAAAGAAAAACGATGTTTTAGCCGAAAAGAGAGAGACTTTAAAATATTGAAACTTTAAAAAAAAAAATGTGGGAATTATATTCATTCGATAGTTGTGCTGAAAAACTTCTATCCTTCCCGGTTAAAATTTTTCCCAACCTTAGAAAATATTTTATTTTCAGTCAGTTAGCAGCTGTTAGCGATCTTTGTAATTTATCTCGCAACGTCATTATCAAAATATGTTTTTTAATTAATTTCATGATTAGAATGTGACAAAGTGAAATTGTCTAAGAGCCACTACTTATCTTAATTGTTTAAAAATGTTACACATTTTTAAACAATTGAAATAAGTGGCTTTTAAACTGCAATCTTGACTGTTAATTGTATCATGACAACAAAAATTGTGTTACAAAAGATAAAAGATTGTTTAATTTTGGAAATTTATTAAATTTATATTAAAAATCTAAAAATGAATTTTTCTTTTCTTCCAATTTTAATTTTTTCAAATATGGAACTTAATTTAATTGTATTTTTACTTAATTTAATTTGCCTTTTCATGAAAAAGAAGCAAATAGACAAACCAGAAGCATAATTAATGATGAAGACTGCGCCAAGTGTTTTTTTGTTGTCTGCTATCAATGCTTACACTTTTTACCTAAATTTAGTATAATCTTAAAAATTTTAATTTTGCTATGTAAAGAGCATGAATATCGTATCACCGATACAAAAAATGATCAGATTTTGAAAATGAAAATATGTGGACCCGCGTGGATTTCTTGCTTAATTAAAATATTTTGAAACATTTTAGAAACTTTTAATGAGATGAAAAATTCGATATTTTTTTTTAGAAAGAGATAATAGAAAGTTGCAATAAAGGCTTTCTTCGACGAAAACTAACGTTGCATAAAATCAAAATTAAGTCTTCAAGTTGTTTAATTTACCTTTCACAGCTTAGACTCTGTGAATTTAATTTTGTGTTTTAGAATCAAATCAAACTCACATGAATTCAGAAGCCCTTAATCATTTATTTTTGGAACCACATTACTTCAAATTAATTAAATTAAATAAAAGAAGAGGAGGGAAAAAATTTGCAAATGAATCAGAAGTTGAAGTTTTACGCAAAAATTGGGAAAATATAAATGTTTCCCAATAATCGTAACAGATGGCTTTTGAACATGAAGAAGTTTGAAAAGATAATGAAATCCATATATTAAAATAAATATTTTAAGTTATTATTAGCCTAATTATTCGGATAATTAAAACTGAACAGTTTTAAAATGGATGTTGTTTTTATCATTTTTTGTAATAAAAATAGATGTTATTTTCATCTGTGATATCTGAATTATCATGATTAAATATCTGAGATCGTTGTACTGAAATACAGAAAATGTTACAGAAACATCTGATAAGTCAAAAGGATACTATCACACGACGAATAATAGTCAAATACAATTAAAACATTAAATCTGATTTTATTAGAGAATTAGCATAAAATTATTTGATGACCGAGTGAGGAATTTTAGAGCTCAAAATTTTTAGATTTGTTAAAATTGGGACTAATTTTTTCAGGAAGAAATTAAGCACTAATTAACCTATTGTTTCATTCAGCTATAGTAATGGAAAATGACTAAATGGTACAGGAAAAGAGGAATGAGATAACTTAACGTTACATCAGATGAATTTACTCCTCCCAGCAATCTATCTACATCAATCAACACTTTTTTCTCATTCCCTTTTCCTCCTATATTAGTTTTAAACCAAATCAGCATTTTTCAGACAGTATATAAGAATGTATTTAAAAAATTTTGAAAAATCATTAAAATTGATTATCTATCATATAAAATGAGTTGAATTTGAAAAGAAAGAAAAAGTAGAAGAAAAGAAAATTAATTCGACTAACGTTCATTTCATTTGCGGATGCTTAGCTCTTTTCTAACCAATTTTTTTAAACTAATAAATCAGAGACCAACTTGTTGATTGAAGGAGAATGAAAAAAACATACTATTGCATTTTCAATTTTGCCGATATCAGTATAGACAACCACCATATCGAAATAATAGCTTTAAACAAGTTTTAAATAACTGATAAATGTTTCGAAATCTTGACAATTAATTGATAACGCCACCTTGCTGTTATATCGATATCACATCAACATGTCAGATTAGGAATTTACCTAATGATTATTTTAGAACTACCGTTAGATCAAGCAATAAATAATTTGCATGTCAACATGCAAAAAATGCTGTCCACTTCATGGCTTTTAAAATGCTGAATTTGTCCAGCAAATTCAAATTCGTGTTGTTTGCCAAATTGTAGTAAAGAACTGGATTAATATAAATTTTGCTTCTGGAAAAAAATCCACAGATTACCTTAGTTGGGTTCCAGTACGTTTTTAATAACCGAAATACAAATTATGCGATTCTTTTGCCAATGATAACTTTGCT